TCATAAGCGATAAAACAAAATTTAAAACCTAATTTTGGTTTTCTTTTTATGGTTGAACAAATAAAGATGCCATTAACACACCTTTAAAAGTTCCTGCGGATCTTTAAAATTGTTGAGAGTATTTAATATCCCAATTTTGAAGAACCGTTAAAGGTTTCCAAGTGCGTTTAAGGGTCTTTAAAAGTGTGTAGTTTTTACAAATCGTTAAGTCTTTAAGAAGCATCTCCATACACCTCCATAGGCTTTCCAATGGTCTTCTAGAGGTTATGAGAACTTTAAAAAATCCGTGATACGCTTTAAGAGTACCAATAGACCTGTCTTAAGCCTTTAAAGACTTTTATGAATCCTTAACAGTTTTTAATAGCTTTGGTGTGTATTGTTGAACGGTATCTAAGAACCTTAAAAACCTCTATGTATCTCTAAAGCTTTCTAGAGGAGTTTAATCTTCATGAGCCTTCAAGAGATTTCAAGATCCTTTACCAAACGTAAAAAGTCCACGTTTATCAACATTCGTTTCTCAAGTCCATTCGTTTTATTTTTGACTTTCACCAAAGAAAAATACCACTAACAGACCTTTAAAGCTCTTGAGAAACCTTCAGAGTCTTTTAATGGAAATTAAGAGTGTTTAATATTAGAATTGTGCAAAGCCTCTAAAGTTGCATTTAAGGATCTTTAAAATCCTTTAAAAATTCCTTTAATAAAATCTTGAAAAGCATTTAAGAAGAATGTTCATACGTTTTCAAAGGCTTTCAAGAGTCTTCACCAGACTTCAACGTTTTTTTTAGAGATTTTTAAAGACTTAAAACCATTAATACGCTTTAAGAGTATCAAGACACTTGCCTTAGAGAGCTTTCATGAATCCTTTTTAATAACATTTATGTGCACTCTCACTTTCAACAGTCTTTTGGAATTTTATTGCGGCTTTAGTCTTTATGAGGATTTAGCAGCATCTAAAAAATTTCAAAAGGTCTTTAAGAGCCTTTAAAAGTGTTTAAGAGGATTTATTGGTCTTTAAGGGTATTTAAGAGCCTTCATGGGCCATTAAATGTTCCCTCCTAAGAGATTTCAATGACGCTCACAGCGCCTCTAGCAGAGTTTAAGACCCCTAAAAGTCTACGAATTTTTAACAATCTTTATTCAAATTTCGAAGAGCCCTAAAAAGATTTAAGACCATTTAAAAATTGCCAACAGCTTCTAAGAGGTTCCAAAAGTCTCCAAGAAAAAAAAAGTTTTTAAATGCCTTTGTGACGTAACATATCTGACAGCTTTTGAATTTTATCGTTCCCGCTTTTGTGTATTTCATTCAAGGCGAAAGACGCGCCTGATACGCCACTGGAAATGTTTTACCGCGAATCTTAGCAATTCAAGTTGCAAAAAGGACGAAGATTGCGCGTAAAAGAGAGATGGCTTGGCTTTCCCTTTAAGCAAGATGACTGCGAAGGAAACTTTTTGTCGACACAACGACTAAATTGGCAAAGGTTTTTTAATTGTACCAGTAGCTAAGTAATTGCTTTTGTTTATTTGCAGTTGATTTAATAGAGATACTTGTTATCGTAAATTTGAATTAGCTTTTCTCTTGTATTTTATATTTTATAACCATTCGCAGGATGGTGGCTTTGAAATTCAATTATGATGTTTGTTGTCGACTTGTGTGATAAGTCGGGGGGTTTATTTTATGTGGGGGCGTAATATAATTGTTGAATTTGTTTACAGTCGTATTTTTCCACCATCTTATTTTGCATAAATGCCAAATGTGATTATTTCTCATGGCTCCTGAAGTTTTTTATGTTATTGGAAGACTGTTATGTGGTCATGAAACCTTACTTTGTATGCAAATATTATACCCCTGTATTATATAATGAGACAGATTGCCCTAGGAAAAGGCGGACGCCTGAACTCAAACCACGAACACAAACCCTGAACACCCCTTTATTGTTGTTATGCTGACACAGGTAATCTCTTAATGCACAAAAATGATATATTATGTGTATTATTCACAATATTTTAAACATCGGCGTCAAGTCATGATTGTGAGGGAGCTAAACTTTCCCGATGTTGTCGTATAGGCTGAGAACAATTATAATGTGAAATTGTAAAATGCACATTGTGATAGAAGTAAAAAAGTAAGTGATTACATACCCTGGAAGGATTTCATTAGCCTTTTTCCGTCCTTGTAATCAATGAAGTCCCTAGAGCTATTCTCCTGTGATTAAGAGAGAGAGAAACTTTGACTTGAATTTGTTGTTTTTGTTATTAATGTTTTAATTAAACTTCGCTCTCTCCATTTATTAAGTCATTACAAGTCGCCAAAGGTCGTTTAGAGTCTCCAAAAGACAGGATTTTTTAAACGTTAAAAGCCTTTAAAACCCCTTAATAAAGTTTAAAGGTATTCAAGAGGCTTGTCTTGGTCCTTTAATAGTATATTGAAAGACAAGTGTTACAATGCGACCTATTGTAATACGACTATTTTGTGGCACGAGTGGCGTAGCGAAGCGGAGCCACGAGTGTCCACAAGATAGGAGTATTACAATAAAGCATTGTAACACGTGTTTTTCATACTATTTTTTCTATTTCGGGGCTTTCATTTAATTAAAAAGTAATTATGAAAAACTACAGGAAACTTTAGAATTAATATGTCTTAAGTTGGCAACACCATTTACGTTGACAAATTTTAAGTTGGCAGCGTAGATAAACACAACACTGACATTTGGATACTTTAAATTCTGTGAATACTGAATGTGTAATTTTTTATTCGTAGATAAATTTATGGTGGATGTGTAAACTGCTGATTTGGAATGTATTAAGTTCTTCGTGTACCAAAAATCAAGGAAAACACATAAGTTTTACGTAATTTGATTTCACATGCATCTGATGATTTGACGTTGACGTCTTGGCGAACTGCCAACTTAGAGATGAAAAGTTACCAAAAACAATGTTACAATGGAACTCATTGAAACACTGTTTTTCTACAACTGTCAAAAAAACCTGTCATTTTCTGACGGATTTCGAAACGCGAAGTACTAGATTTTTAATCGGTTAATTAATAAGTAAGGTTGCTCTTGACAACGTGCGCGAAATCGTCAACAGTGAAAAAAAGTATTTCGCGCACGGGACAAAGTTGAACTTAAACAGCAATTTAATTAGCAATCGGTTCAGTTGTAGAAAAACCTTTAAGAGTCAAAAGGGGTCTTTAAACCTCTGGTAGACAGCAGCTTTTCTCACGTTAAGGGTCTTTAAGGTCAGTTGAGGGTACTCCTTGATCTTTCTAGATGGTTTTTGTGTTTAAAACTTTTTAAGAGCTGAAACTGCAAAGGGTTTTATTAGTTTGAAGAGGTTTCAGAAGTCTGTAAAACTGGCAAATAATCTTAAACAGCGCTTGTCTATGCGTATCTCCAAGAGCTTTATCCTTAAGACACTTGAAAGCTCTTTCAGAATTTTCAGAACCTTGGAACACCTTTTTCCAAGTAAAAGAACGTCACAAAGATCGTTAGCTGTATCCTATGGCTGTCAAAAAATAAAGAAGAAGCACAACTGCTAAACAAAACATTTTGGACTATTTGCTTTAAATAGTTATTTATATAACAAGAGCGCGAAGTTCAATTTCGCGCATTGAGACTGAAGGTATTTTGACGAGGCGAAGCCGAGTTAAAATATCAGTCAAATGCGCGAAATAACTTCGCGCTAGCGTTATATACAATATTTTTTCTACAACTGAACCGATTGTTAATAATAAAATAAAAATTGCTGTTTAAGTTCAACTTTGTCCCGTGCGCGAAATACTTTTTTTCACTGTTGACGATTTCGCGCACGTTGTCAAGAGCAACCTTACTTATTAATTAACCGTTTAAAAATCTAGTACTTCGCGTTTCGAAATCCGTCAGAAAATGACAGGTTTTTTGGACAGTTGTAGAAAAAAAATATTTCGTCTCCTGTACATCAGAGTGGTTCAAACTCGTGGCTTGGGACCTCCGTAATGGTGAGAGATACAGTGTAGGTTAAATGAGGACAAAGTTGTCTCTTTTTGTGAGTAAAAAAACGCATTTCAAATGTTTGAAATATCTTCGGCCCGTGTGGCGCAGTTCAGTTAAAGCTGAACTGTGGTGCTAAGGGTTCCTGGTTCGAATCCGGGTTCGGGCATGGATATTTGTAAATGTATAGTGGGTTGGTTTGGTAGAGCAGCCTTGGCTGAAACCTCACCCACTCAAAAATAAAGGCAAAATAAAATAAAATAACTGAAACTGTCAAATTTGGTTTTCATTGTCCATAGCTCAAACTGTCGGAAATAGACGATTTGCGCTGTTGATTCAGCAAGATATAGTTACCTATGGATGTTTTTTTTTGAGAAATGAATGTAAAACATTTGATTTTGAAACTTTTTTTGTAAATTTATGCAAAAGTATAGTGTGACACGTCGTCATTTTTCGTTTTTTGTCTTCTATTTAATTCCGTAAAAATCCAACTACCCGGTATACATGCTTGATAATGATAACATACTGTATGAAATCTTTCAATTTCACTTGAATTATAAAAACAAGAAAGTTCTGATATAATTGAAAAGAATGGCCTTTTTCCATTTGACTACATTCTTTAACATGATCTTTTGTTGTATTACTGTAAGCAAATGTAAAATGACTATTTGACATGGGTACCAAAGAGAAGGCCCCGCGTGAAATTCACCGGTACCCCTTCTCTCCAGCCCGGCACTGGACGTACTTGTTCGTAGAAAATTGCATTTCATTAATCACGTAATCGCGTGTCAAAAAAGAATTGATCAATGAACCAAGTAATTGGTTAATTGCATAGTTGAATAATGAAAAGGCTCATGAAAACCCTCATCGGAATACCATTGAGGCGAGCTTATTTTGGGATTACTACATCTGGCATAACACTAAGTGGAAACATTGGCATGACTTGTCAGCCCAATTAATTAATAACTTGTTCCATTAAGCCATTGTAGCCCTGAATAGTGTAATTAAGTAATTAAGAAAATTTGAATTTACCTAAGCTAGCCGTCATGCTCTCCAGGTCTTTAGGTTTTCTTTTCCTCGGCCTTCCTTTCTGTCGCGGCGTAGGTGTACCATTAAAAAAAGGAACTTTACCAACAGGTTCGATGGGCGTCGGAGGAGGCAGGGGTGTACATGAATGGAACTCTGGACTTGGAAACGGCGAGGGATAATGCATCGGACCGGAATAGATACCGTGCGACGTCGGTTCCGATAACGGAATATCAAAATGCAATTTACACAGGACAGCGCCGTCACGCATGCCGAAATGATCGCCCTTCGTTAACGGTGAATTGCAGACGGCGCAGGAGAAACAATGCACGTGAAAAACCAGTTCACGTGCTCTCATTACCAATTCCGACGAAAGGATTGTCGCCTGACAGCGCGCGCACCTTTTCATTCCAAATAACCTGAAAGTAAGAAAAATCAAAATTAGAAAATTCCCATGCGCCGCCGATGCTTTATTGACGTGTGTTCGCTTTTAAAATCCCACTATAACAATTTCGTATTCGTTCCCAACAATGAGGCGCAAGTAATATTGAACAACGGAGAACAATGGCGAACCCCTGTTGAGATCAACAAGGGTTTAGCATGTAACATATGCTCGGATAAACACATTCGACTATTGTAACCCTCGAAACTTTACGATTTTTCGTTAGGCGAGGGTAGCGCAAATTTCACTTGCTAATGTGCTTTACGTGAAACAATTAGCCATAATTTAAGTTGGCGATCTTGAAGATCCGGTACACAAAGCGCCTGGCAAATCCCAAAATCCGTTTTTACATCTGCACTGTAACCTATTTATGAATAAAGAATTTTACAGACTAGTGTTGAGTGACGGTATTGTATTAATAGCAAAAACCTCAACAGGGGGTGTCCGGACGCCCCCCGTTGTGTGGATCTACAAAGTAATCCAGCCGTTTTACCCACAGCAGTTTCTGTTATGTATTTGTCGAAACAGAATTTTTTTTCTTATAATGCGCCCTTATATTTCCGCCAAGTATTCGCATTCAAATTTAAATAATGTTAGAAATTTAAAGAAAAAAGGCCGTAATGTGCGTGTTCGTGTATTGGTTTAACTACAACCCGCCGGTTGTTAAAAGCAAATAGTACCTACCTATGAGCTTTATTACCTATAACTCGTTATTGCTTATGTATAGCAGGCAGTTTTGAATTATTACGAGTAACATTTACTGCGAAAAATGTTTAGATGCGGTTTCTTTAGTAATTATTTCCAGAATTACACCCTCCTTTATAAACAGAATGAGGCATGTCTCGGTTAACATCTGTAACCGATTGCGTTAATTCTTAGTTCTTATTTAGGATTTTGTATTCATACAATAATGGCTTACCTTATTGACATTCGTTTTTAGATCTGCTATTTTAAAATTAAAAGGGCTGGCTAATTCCTAGCAATACATGAGGGATTTAGGGTGTTATGAATTTTTTAATCTCATTAGTGCAACTAAGTCGGGAAGTGGCACCATTCCCAATAAACCATTCTGGCCCTCGTGGTAGATCATAATCAGATGTAACTTTAATGTTGACTTCAATCACTATCATCAAATATACAATTCAAAACGTTACATTTCGAACATATAATATGTTAATATGCTTGATTTGTTTCAAATGATCACCCCACCTAAGGGGATGAAATTTAAGACTCCTTTAATACAAATTGGATGATTTAAGCATTTATTGTTTAACTTTCGAAATAGATTTATTAAGAGATACGAATTTGAGTTGGGACACCCTGTATTCTTAGTCAAACAACAAGTCACGCTGTATACCCCTTTTCGGCGTGATGTCTATGATGTGGCGTCACTTTCCGAGTGCATAGAGCTCCGAGGCTTGTTTGAGCCCCCCCCCCCCCTTAGACCTGTACATTGGGCATTCCCCAGTGTCTTCAATACACAACCAGTTTATCTATTTGTGAACTCCAAGAAAATCGATATTAAGTTTCGTCACATTGTTACGCTGTTGTTATGTAAGTAAGTTGGCAAAGATTATGTAAACACTTTGAGATCGCCTGGGTAGTGTACCTTCTTACCTAGTGCTTCTTATTCAGCGAGAACATTCTTTAACCCATTCCTCAAGGGATTTTTACACCTTTCAGATTTCTTAACAGACAGCATACCTAACTATGTTGTTAATGCATATGAATGTTTTGTTTTTTCAAAGGATAACATCATTCTTTGCAAAAAAAAAACATCCAATCACATGCCTTAACAACATTGTTAGCATCTATGTTTTATAAGACCGGCCGTTAGAGAGCAAAACATGGTCCATAAGATTACTCAAGACATTTTTTAAGACATTACACAAAGGATTTTTCAAAACGGTCTTTAGGTTCTTTTTTAATTTTTTAGGAGACCCTCTAAAAGAATTTTTTAAAAGGTCCTCTAACAGATGCGCCAGAATTCTTCAAGAGCTTGCAAGCGATCTTTACTTCATTAGCTTTTAATAAGTTATCGGCTTTTTGAAAATTTGTACCCCTGTCAAAAATTGTCTAACTTCCTCGTAGTTTGACAGCATGAAATTATCCGCTTTTTTGTTTTTAAAGAGTCTTTTCATTCTTCATGCGCTCGTTCAAAAAAGAGATATCTGTCGAGAGCCTTCAAAAGATTGTTTAAGAAACTGTTCAAGGGAATTTTGAAAGTATTCCTTAGGTTTTGTTTTTAATTTTTAGGAGACCCTTCAAAAGAATTTTTTAATAGGTTCTTCAAGAAACCCGCAAGATGCTATTCAAGGGATTTTTCAAAGCATTAGGTCATTCGTCACCTTGCGGTGACTTTGAAATGCAGGTCAAGTAGAAGGGCGCCCGCCACGTGGCGGTGATCTTGGAAAGTAGGTCTACGTGAACCTCAAGGGCATTCGTTTTCAACGTCATCGGGGGTCAATGACTAAATTTGTGGTTGTCATATTTTACTTTCGAGGTTACGAAAGGTCAACGACAACATTTTCACGATGCCACAACTACCCAGGCCATTGAAGATTCTTGTAATGTCACCAAGGCCATTTTGTCATATTTTATTTCATTTTCGGGTTCGCCTTCACGTTTGTACTCGCATTCACGTTTGAGTTCGTGTACACGTTCGGGTTATCGTTCACGTTCGGGTACGCGTTGTGAAGCATTCATCAGCACACACGCACTCAGTCGTTTGTGGAATTCCGCCGAAAGCAAATCGAGCCCAAAACGTGAACGCGTGAACGTGATCAAACGAATCAAATAGTGAACGTATACGCAAACCGCACAAAAATGGAGCCCATTGACAATGAAATAAGATGAAACAAGTATAAATTGTGCACAACTCTTGTTGTAAAAGTAGTTCCACTCCCCCCTCCCCCTCCACCCCGTACTTTAATAAGAGGACAGAAAGAAGGGGAGTAGTTGGTAGAAAATGGTTCCTTTCGTGGAGATAGTTTGTACAAACCAAATTATTTCGATGAGACCTTTCATTAGAATACCATGAAGGGTAGAACATGTGCCCCCCCCCCCCTTGTATGCAAAATCTGAGACCAATTATTGGTTGTCGTATGTAAAAGTTATGCACGTTTCACTTTCAAAATCAGCATCTCAGGAAACAATTCGTGGGGGGGGGGGGCTTTTAAACAACGAAATTTGATAGCCGTCTGGCACACCTTCAAGGTATAGGCTACGAACTGCAAAAAATTTCAGGACTCTAGGACCATTAGAAGTACTTCGAAACGGCAGAAGTGGGTCCGGACGGACGGACGGATGGACGGCGGACAAAACGCAAACAATAGCACATTTTTTTTTAATTCTTAAAAAATGCGCTAAAAAATTTGATAACCTTGAAAATAAGATTACTTTACATAAATGGGGTCATTGACATTGAATAACTTTTAAAGCAAATGCCCTTGACATTCACCTTGACTTCCTTTCCAAGGCCGCCGCAAGATGGCGAGCGACCTTCAAGAGGTTTTTTAAGATATGCAACGAGGATCTTCAAGAGACTTCATAATGCTACCGAAGGGAGGTTTTTAAGGCATTTTATATCTTATTTTTCCAATTTTTAGAAAACCGTTCAAAGGAACTTTTTAAGATTTTTGTAAGAGATCTGCAAGAAATTCGTTGAGACACTGTTCAAGGATTTTTTCATGGCACTTTTCAGGTTATCTTTTAATTTTTTAGGAAAACCTTCAAAATCTAATGCGTCTCCCAGAGGCAGGGCGGTATAAAATACATCTAAATCTGAGCACAACAGAACTAAGAACTGATTTAGGCATAATTCGATTTGTTTATATAATAAACGCCAATCTTTCTCGAAAGTTCTCGAACCCTCCCGAATATAGAATAGAATGTCCCTATGTACCTATGTGTAACCCTATACGGAGATACGAAATTTGATACTGGGGTATAACCATGCACATAACAAAACCAAACTTACTTATTGGAAATACTTGGCACGACAACGGTGCCCAAAACACACACCATAAGAAAAAATACTTTTTACAAAGCTAATTTTGAATTTCTTATTTTCATGTGTAAAAACCAAACTTCGTTCGGAGGAAAATTTTTCTTCGTTCACTTCAGGAATACACGGTTTTGGAGTAGGAATTATGGTAATACTTTTACAAGAACACAAGTAAAAAACCAAGGTAAGGCTGCAAGTTCCATCCTTGCAACTGTTATGATTCCCAAGGGGCAATTAAAGAAAAAAACGTAAATTTTAAGACTGTTGGGGGCGTCCCTCCTGATCCAATTTGGACCTTGGGGTTATTTGGAAAACTGCTTGTTTTGTTCTTCCAAACACCCATTTTTTTGCACACTTAACTGCCACACATCGGCGAATACAATGTTTCTTAGTAGAGTTTTTCATTTTTTTTTAACATTATCCATCGTTCCTCTAAATGGGGTTGAGTGATATCAAAGACTAAGAAAATCGGATCTCGTTTTCTTAATCTTTGAGTTTTTCATTTTGGAGTATCTCCATCTACCGTTTGAGCTTTTCGGAATGTTTTCCTTTACTCAGCTGGTTGATATCCCTTAATTTATGGCCCAAAATTCAACAAGGTCCTTACTTGGACCAAACCCCCCACTCCTCACTCTCTAATTGCACAAAAATAATTTTAATAAAAAAAAAATTTGAAATGCTCAACTTAATCTTCAACGGTGATTCCGCCCGAAACTATACATAAAACGCACGAATTCGGACGGCATCGGGGATGCGATATTTGTAGAAGCTACTATATTTCTACACAATTCTTGAAACGCGAAAGGCACAATTTGCGTGGAATGCTGTTACACATATAACGCTTCATAGCGAACGTGAACAAAAAAATTTTTGAAAATAAAAAAAAACTATAAAAACGAGCAAATTTTCGTTAGTGGTTGCGTACCATTTTAGGCAACATTCAGGTAAAAATTTACCAGCTTTACCTTAAGTGAA